TGAAGATAAAATTAAGTAATGGAACTAAAGGGCTTGTGTAATTAATACTAACAATGCCAATCAATATCAATACATTTAATGATAATTACAGATATAATTGCAATTAACAAAACATTAATATTAATAAAACGAACTGCTATTATTGCACAATTGTTCACACTCTCTGTTTTACAAAACCGTGAGTTGTCTGGCATTCTGGTATTGTTGATTACATGTGTATGGCTTTGATCTTTAATTCACACTGTATCTCTAAGGAGAGAAAGGTTTGAGTCTTTTCTCTGTGATTGTCACCTAGCATAGAGCCTAGGTTTCCTCAGAGAATGGTTATTGGATTGAGAAACTGTCTCATGATTAACTAAACCCTACGAGTGGTAGCTTAAACATTGGGAACAGAAGAAGTGGGACTGAAAGGGGCAGGGGACCAGGAGAGCAAGTATGAAATCAAGAGCAAGCTAGCTAGATAGAGACAGAGAGAGAATCTAGAAAGAGTGAAATGTCCTGCCTGGACGCTGGCAGAAGACACTGTTCAAAAAGATCATGATGAGGCTTCATGGTTTAGTAATCACATTCTACAGAAATCACTCCAAGCTCAGAAATAATAATCCATTTGTTATTTGTTGGATGTTCCCAGCCCTGGGATGACTCCATCAGTCACTGAGGGGCTTTGATTAAGCTGGTTCCTGGGGGAGCGGATGTCTGCCTCATTAGAATGGCTATTGGGGTTCTAGTTCCTGAGATCCCACTTAACTCGAGGGAAATGCCAGTGCCACTTCTCCATCCCCAAATGAAGATGCTTGTGCTCCTCTTTTTGTCTCTGTCGTTGGTTATGGTGGTGGTGGTGGTGTGTGTGTGTGTGTCTGTGTGGCCACAGTGGGACATTTTCCTTGCTAGCAGAGTGGCAGCTCAGTCACTTGCTTGGAGACAAAACAGGCTGTGTGTACTACCTCGCCCCTATTTCTCTTCTCAGCGAAAGTGGAGGACTGATTTTAATGGATTGATTTTAATGGATTTTGAAGTCTGGAAAAGTGCCTAAATTGCTGAGGTTACCAGTTTTTCAGGTTCTTTTTTTCAATTTTATTCTCCTTAGTCAGATATCTAGTGCACTGACTGGGGTACCAAGTGAGGTCACCCAGAAATGAAGGGGCCTCTCACCTGTCCCCCATAGAAGAGCCAGTTGGAAGGACCCCCTCAGCTGATGAGAGCACCTATTATTTGACTGGAGTAGAGTAAATTGCTTGATCTTGTCTCTATATTAGCTAGAAACATCCTCTCTCTCTCTCTCAAAGTAGATGACCAATAATAAGAATAAGACCAGTTTCACTCTCTGGCATCATATGACTCCATTATCAAGTATAATTGCATTTGATAATTTTATTTCTCATTTGTCTGTATTTGAGTTTGTATCGGGACAATGTATCCTGGTAACTTCAACCATCCAGATCATAAGAAATTATAAAACATTGTGGAGCATGAGAATTCCAGAATACTTAGCTGTGTTCAAGCAGAACCTATGGCTTCTATGATGCATACAGAACAAGAGTCAGTCATTTGAACTCAACACTGGGCTCCTTTGTGGTGTAAGGTGTATGTCTTTTCATCATATTGATTCAATAAATATGCTGAGTCAATAATGCAAGAAGCTGGACTGTATGGGAAAAAATGGCATCAAGTTTGGAGGAAGATTTATCAGCAAGCAGTGTTATGCAAATGAAAAGAACCTTGCTTGCAGGAAAGAGGACTTGAAAGAGGCAATAGCCTTCAGCACGGATTATACCTCAACAAAAAGAAAACAAAATTCATCCCAATTGGACCAATAAGCAATACGTGAAAAAAAGTTCAAGTTGTCAAGGATTTAATTGTATTTGGATGCACAATGTACACCCATGAAACGACAGTCAAGAAGAAAGCAAACACTGTATGGCACTGGGCAACTATGCAACGAAAGACCTCTGTAAAGTGTTAAGATACAGAGATATCACTCTGAGCAGGAAGGTATGCCTGGCCCAAGCCATGGTATTTTCTATTGCATAATTTGCATGTGAAAACTGGACAATAAATAAGGAAGACCAAAGAAGAATTGATGCATTTGAATTATGGTGTTGGCAAAGAATATTGAATATACCATGGGCTGCCAGAAGAGAGAACAAATCTGTCATGGAAAAAGTATAGCCAGGATGCTCCTTGGAATAGTAATGATGTCAAGACTTCATCTCACGTACTTGGTGCATGTTATCAAGGGGGACCCATTCCTGGAGAAGGACATCATATTTGATAAAGTGGCGGGTCAGCAGAAAAAACAAATCTTTCATTGAGATGAAATGGCACAGTAGCTGTTACAAGGGGCTCACATATTGCCTGGGCCTATGAGGACAGCACTGGACCAGACAATATTTCATCGTGTTGTACATGGAGTCTGTTGTTCTTGTGTGTCACTGAGTCAGAACCAATCCACAGCTGATCTCCACAGGCAGCTAATTATACAGGAGGAGACTGCTCATCCTCCTGTGGAGCAGGTGGTGGATTTGAACCATGTGCCTTTTGGATTCCAGCTCAACTTTCTTATCATTAGGCCACCACGCTCCCTAAATAGGGTCTAGGAGTTGGAAATGGCTTGATAGCACCTGACAACAAAGTAATAACAACTCTGGGCTGCCTACCTGGGAAACTGTGTGATGAGGCATTTGAGATCCCGAGTCTCTCCAGGAGATCTCTGAAGACGGATGATATTTCAGTTATTGCAAGAGGACCCTAGGCTGTTTTAATTCTCTTGGTCTCCAGTATCACCCTTCTCACTCCCAACACACATACACATTTCTTTTAGCTTCGTTTCCCTAACTTGCCAAACTTGCCTTTGTGATTTCAGAAAAATGCCACTGGATCCCCCAGTATGAAGGATTAGCACAGATTATGGGGAACAGTGTTAATTATCGGTGGAAGGGGGGCTGGCGCCTCGCTCCAATGTGCTCCTGATTTCCCCTGGGCCTTTCTGCCTGGTAATAAGCCTTCTTTAATCTGGCAGGCCCCTTGGTGAAATCAGCACCACGGACAGTGATATTGATTGCTTCTGAGAAACCATCACAGCTGCTCAACCAAATTACCTTTGATATGTGACCTTTAATGTAATTACTGCAACATCAAAGTATTTCTATAAATTATTAAAGAACTAATACACTCTATCATTTAGCTATTCTATTATATGTAAAATAAACAACCACAAGTTAATGTGAGATCCTGAACAATCCACACTTGATACTGAAATTCTCCTAGTCCCTGGCTGTCGAAGCTCCCTTTTAAAAATCCCAAACCTGGCCCTCCCATCTTCTTTCTGTTTCTTCCATCTGATTCCCGGCGTTTAGCCGTCATGAAACTCCCCAGCAATTTCTCTCAAGCTGATGAAGGGCCTTCCGTAACAATGTGATATTTTCAATTCCATCTGGGTGGTTCTAAACTATCTATCACAATCTCCCCCCACCCTTAAAACAAAACAAAACAAAACAAAACGAAACCACCAACCGACAACAAAACCACCCCAAAGTGCTATAAACACTTTATTAATCAGCACAAACCTTTCTCAGAAGCCTTTGATTATCTTACAATACGGCTTTATGCTTCACACGTAACACGGGCTATGCGCAGCATATTTCTGCCATCTTACAGAGGGCACCCAGAAAGTAATTACTGTAATATATGTGCATGTAGCCACACCACTAAAAATCCAACTGGGGAATGGCCACCCTGCCAGGGCCAGGACTCTGCAAAATCTGTGCGGTGCACAATTTCCATACATTTGCATCGTGGGCATGTTATTAAGATGACTCCGTCTTGTGCTTTGCAACCACAAATACCAACATACAATACAAAGGCTGTCCTAATGGCAGGCAGGCCCGGTGAAATTCAGCTCTCCCCCCCCACCCCCACCTCCTAAAAAATGCAAAGAAGGATCTTTAATGAAAAGGAAGGCTGCCCCTGCCTGGTGTGTGCATTTCCTCTCTCGACCAGGTTAACCTCTCCCGCTGAGGGGCAGAAATGGAAACGTGTGTTTACATATGCTTTCCTTGGCAAGAATGTAAACATGCGTGTGTAAGCATGAGTGAGCATACATAACGAATACACGTGCCGCCACGCGCGCCATTGTATCAGCGTGAGCAAGGTATATATAGAAATTCTTTAAATTATGCCCACAAACACCAACATCTTTCCATTTATCTTTAGATCCTCAAACAGCCGTTTATCTCCCTCCACCTCTTTCCTCCCCCCCCCCATCTCTCTGAACCCACAGGAGAGACCGCGCAGACCCTTGACCCGAAGAACACTTCTTATTTTATGGTGATGAACTAGCTGCGATAATAGCCATGGCTGATATCACACCCAGTTAGGGGGGTCATAAATAATTCTCTTCTCCCCCTCGCAGAAGCTATAAACCAGGGCCGAGGCGCGATAGTTTATCAAAGCCGAGGGTTGGCTCCTTAAATAAACCACGGTGATCTCACCCGAGGCGGCGCCGAGCCCGGCTGGGAGGCCCCCCTCCCGCTCCAGGCCCGCCGCCGCCCTCGGAAGAGCCAGGGAGGGGCCTCGGAGGTCAGCGGCCCCGGCCACACTCGGCCCCGCGGGGCTGGCAGCCCGCGCCCTGCGCCGGGGCTCCGGGTGGGCTGGGCGTGGAGGCTCGGTGCGCTCGCCGCGCGGGGAGGAGGGAGGAGCGGCGCGCGCAGCCCGTGGCTCGGTCAAGTTCGCCCACCGCCGCGCTCCGTCGGGCCTGGACGGCGGCGCGCGAGGGCTGGGCTGCGGCTGGGCTCGGTGGCCACGCGCTTCGCCCCCCTGGCTGCGCGCCTCTCGCCCTCACCGTCCCGCAGGGGCGCGCGCGGGTTGGGTGGGGCTCCCGGGCCCAGGAGGCGGCTGCTCCCCGCGCTGTCGTCCCCCATGGTTGGCAAGGCAGCGGGACCTCCCCGAGTTCGCCCCCTGTCGGCGCGTCCGTCGCTTGCGCCTCGGCGGGCGCCACTTACCCCGGGCAGGGTCTTCTGCTCGTGCAGCGCGCTCTGGGCCTTCAGCGCTGACTCACGCTCGCAGTAGGTGAGGAAAGCGCAGCCTGGGGAGGGAAGCAAGCGTGGAGAAGGGTCAGTGGGGCGGCCCCTGGGCCACGGACGCTCCCTCCGGCCCCCACCCTGCTCCTAGTGCCTTTTCTCAGCCTCTTTCTTTCCTGCCACTCGGCTGCTTACCTCCCTCTCCGTTTTCCCCGACTGTCTGCCTCTTGTCCTTCCAAGTCCTTTTCTGTTTTGCTCTTTCCTCAGAGTCTTACCCTGCATCTACCCCCCACACCCCTTTTTTTCTCCCCCCAGGTCTCTCCCAGTTCTTGTACCCTGCTGACTCTGGCGGCGCTGCCCTCTCTCCCCTCTTGCTGTCTCAGCTCCAGCGCCTGCGCCTCCCCAAAGGCCAGTCCCCTCTATGCCTAGGACCTCCAGTGACGCTTGAAGACAAACTCTTGCCCAGGCCCCTTAGGAATATTGGCAGCTGCGCCATCAGGAATGATGGAGGGACCCCTGGGTCTTACAAATAAAGATACCATCTCTAAGGAGGCTGGACTGTCCTAAGAAAAGGAAAAGGGGGCTGACCACATGTCCCCTCTTGTCATCTTGACAGTGATGGGCCAATATGCACGTCCCAGTCAGAGGTACAATGCTGGGCCTAGGACACACCTCTAGTTCCTTGAGTGACCCTGGACACCACCGGGGCCATTTTGGACCATGCATTGTCTCCTTGGCATTGAACTGAGCCCTGACTGATCAATCAACAAGGCCCAGGGAGTGATGCTGGCTGTGCCATGCCATCGTGTCTCCACCGGGCCATCTTGCTTTTCTCAGGGTAATAGATGAACTCAGGGAGTGACAAGAATGTTTGGCGACAGCAGTGTCTGTCTGGAAGTTCTTTCAACCTGCCCGGTATTGTAGGGATCCTTCCTCGCCCTGTATATGTGACTGAGCATAGCTTGAGAGACCTGCAAGACCTGAGTCATTGGGAAAATGAAAAAAGCTCACTTTGACCAACAACAGGCTTGAACCTCAGCTCCCTCAGACTTTCCAAGTCCACCCAATATTCCAGAGAAGGTGCTGCAGAATGGCTAACCTCCGCTGCCACTACCTCTTCCCATCTTCTCCTGCAACCTCCTGTGGTCTTTTCCAAGGTCTCCAACAACCCGTATTCATCTCTGATCCCTTCCTTTGCTCTCATAGGCTCCTTGAGACTATAGTCGATCTTTTCTCCTCATTTTCACATCTCTCAGCTCTGTGTATCTTTTAAGATTCTGATAAAGTTCTACCTACTCCAGTCAGGCCTCCTTCACTTATCTAGTCCATCTTGAGCCAACCTGCCTTATCGACTGCCTAAGACTGACCTCCGTTAACTGGCCATTCTCATTTATTAAGAGTTTCCTGAGCATCTGCTGTGAGCCAGACTCTTTGCCAGGCTGCAAGATGGTGATTGGGCCCCGGTCACTCTTGATGGTAAGGCCAGTCTGGGGCTAACTCCACCCCTTGCCATCAGGTTTGCAGGGGCCCCTTGTCTGGGTGCAGAATGCTCCAATGTCCTCTATGGTTTCTGACTCCTGCCCTGCCCAGCTTGTATTTGATGAAAACTCCTTTCTCGTCCAATGTAAAAATTGGCCCTGCCTCCTTTCTGGCTTCAGAGAGGAGATGGGAAGAAAGAGGCAGAAGCTTGAGAGGAAGCAACTCTCGAATCCCAGCTCGGTCTGCCTCCCCCACCTCTGCTGGGTGGAAGCTTGAGTGCCTCTCTTCCACTTCATCTCGTCCATCCTGCCAGACTCCAGATTGCCCTCCTCCCTCCTCCCTTCTCTTTCCTGGTCACTGGCAGACGGTTATTGATGGAGACATCGGGGACTGAAATGAATAGCGGTCAGAGGCCCCCATGACGTCGTCCCTCGTGCTGCCGCCTGCCTCTCCCGGGGGTGTCTTTTCCTCTCATCCCCTCGCTGGCCTTGTCCTTTGCCTGTGTCTGCCTGCAGCCAAAAGGCCTGCCACTCCTGTGGCTGCAAGCAGGCAAGCCAGCTCGGGACAAGGTCAGGGGCAGGTTTGAAAGGGAGGAGGAAGAGGAGGAGGGGAGGAGGAGATGACCACGTGGTTTCCACGGTGCAGGATAACAAGGGAAAGATTCTGGAGCGGAAGGAGTATCTGTTGCATCTGTCTAGCCCCCAGGAATTACCCCCACAGTTTTTGGAGGGATCTCACAGCTTCCTTGTGAGCTAGCATTTTCCAGTGCCTGTGTCTCCTCCCCCTGCCGTCCCAGGCCGTGTGTCCTACTCCCTCTGCCACCCACATCAGCTCGCTTATCTCTCTCCACCCTCCACTTCTCACTCATTTGTTGATTTTCTCTTTCTCCAGTGTACCAGGTATGCTATGCTTTAGGGGTTTTGCAGAGCGAGTTCCCTTGGCCAGAATGCTCTCATATTAAATATACCTCCTTCCATCATAGCCTAGGGAGCCATGGTGGCTTAGTGGTAAAGAATTGTGCTGCCAATGCAAAAGTATATGGTTCAAATCCACCAGCTGTTCTGTGGGAGAAGAATGGGTAATATCCTTTTGTGTGGTTTTTGGCCTCTGGAAACCCACTGGAGGGTCAGCTATGAGTCTTCTGACTGGCCTTAAACAACAATCACCCTCATTCTCTACGCTCACACATATAGCCCCCACCCCCATGTCCTGCCTGTTTTTCTCTCTAGCACTTACCACCTACTAACATACAGTTATTTGGTGTTAGTTCCTCTTTCCATGCTCAGATGAGGTCAAGTACCTAATTTTATTCTGTTTATTGCTGAGTCTCCAGTGACCTGAAGAGTCGCTAACGTTTCATATACATTTTTTTTTAATATTAGATGCTTGTCACTCTGAGTAATTCAGGGGGATCAGATGCCCCTGAGAGTGGACTAAGGCCTCAAGGACAGTGAAACACTAGACTAGACTAGGCTAGACTAGACTTCCATGGTGGCAGATTTGCCCCATATGCTTCCTCAAACCTCTTCTGGTGCCCAAGCATGCTATCAGAGCTGTTCTCTTGGGTGTGTAAGAGTTTTTTTCCCCAGAGCCTATTATCCCCTGAAAAGGGTGATGTCAACTCCAGACAAGGAACTTGCTTGGCTGAGTTCTTTATCAGCTATAGACTGCTTACTGAGTCATCTTTCTGAACCTCAGTATTCGTACTTATAAAATGGAACACCCTAAGTGAGGTGGCTTGACACAGTGACTCGAGCAATGGGCTTCAGTGTGTCAGAGATGATGAGAATGGCACAGGATAGGACAGGGATCTGTTGTTCATATGGTCCCTATGAATTGTACTCGACTCTGTGGTTCCTAACAAGACCTTTTCCCATTCAGGGGCTAAGGAAAGAATTATTAACAAATGAGTATTAAACGCCTCTGCAGAGTGCAATGTTGTTAAGCTCCCCCTTGTCACGCAGGAGAGAGTTCTGGAAGCATAGTCCACAGGGAGCTGACCTGCTAGTCCAAGGTCTAGGTCCCTTTGGTGGTTGAATTCACTGGTGAGTCCTTGGGAAAAAGATGGGCAATCTCCTGTACAATTTATGGTCCTAGAAACCGAGCAGAGGGTCTGCTATGAATTGGTTCTGACTTGAGGGCAATGGATTATTGCTGATGTTTTGTTGATTTTGGTGTTGTTTTGTTTTAGTGTGAAGCAGGAGGTTATGGAAGGATTGAATTACTTTCATCCTCTCCCTCAGCACTCCTGTGTGAGGACAGATAGGTGCCCATCTACCCTGAGCGTGTCATAAGTAATCTCTTCAGCTGGTCTGATGCATTGCCTGATATTTCCCTATGAGAGATCAGCCCACTACCTTACAGCACTCTGAAAAAGGTAAAGATGCATAACCAGCTACTAGCTACTGACTCTCTCAGGTAGAGGTGAGGAGCCCAGAGCTGCTCCTGTGCTGAGGGGGGAGAATCGTGCGTGGCAGGTGGCATCAGATGACCGATACTGCAAGACCTCTGGGAGGCATACGGAGGCTGGCGCTCAAGTGTTCAGGGAAGAGAGGGTGCTCAGGCCACACCCAGGACTTTCGTTCATAGGGTCGCTATGAGTTGCCTACAACTCGACGGCACTTAACAACAACAACATAGAGAGAGATCAGTTGGCCTAGTGGACAGAAAGTGATGCTACCAAGCCAAAGGTGGGTGACTCTAATCCGGGCCCTCAGGTCCGTTTTTAATTGTTTTTGGTCAAACATTCTTCCAAGTCATATAGCGTGTCCACTTGCCATACAGAGGTAACTCGTGGTTGCTGTGAAGCTGAACACTGTGACACTGATGTGTCAAATGAGAGAATGGTTACCCATGGTCGACAGTGTGTGGTGGAGTTCCCAGGCTAAAACAAGCTTGGAAGCAGGAGTGGCATCCACTTCCGAAATAGCTTGCCTCCAGAAATCCTATGAATCTGGAGAAAGGACAAAAGCTATACAGGTGTCCAGGACTTTCGCTCATAGGGTCGCTATGAGGCACCTATAACTCGACGGCACTTAACAACAGCAACCACGCTACAAAGGCCTTTGCTTCCTGTTACTCATTGTTGATCCTCACCGGCATTGAGGTGAGAGTCACACAGAGTGTACAAGGGAGTCTCAATGTTAGCCAAGCAGCCACCACATCTGCCTTCTCAGAGAGACGTGTGTGCGTGCAGGTGTGTGAGTACGCACGTCCACGGGACTTTAGATGCTTTGCACATGCGTCCCTGTGCATATATGTGAGTGAGAACAGGTTTCTGCCGGCGGGCCTGATTGTAGGTCAGGTGTACGTACTGATGTGTGCGCATGTGCTCGCATGTGGGGGTATGAGAAATCTAAGTCATTTCTAGAATCTAAAGTAGAATACAAGCCCTGTAAGAGTAATCAGGACGTCCTGAGCAACACAATATAGGCAAGAGGGAGATGGGAGAATACAGATGCCCCTGTGCAGACGGTCTCTGAGGTAAGGACAAGTTGGTGACACCTTACGTGGTAGCAGATGTATGTGGAATAGTAATGATAATAACAGTAATGTTGTTGGTTTTGTTGTTGAGTACCATTGAGTC